AAGCTACTTGGGACTAGATCCCCTGGCCAAAGGAGAGAGTGTCGTCCTCACACTCTTGACTCTTGCCTTCCTTCATATGGTTTATTTTGAGAGTGCACACAATAACGTGGGACTTACATTATCTCTCAGAGTAAAGGCATTTTAGTTCTTTCTATGATCCTGAACTGAAAATGTACTTACAATTTTATCTTGTCTCTGAAAAATTAAGGGGATCTCCATAAATTTCATGCATCTTTAGTTGAAGAGCAATATATAGGGGCGCCTGGGTGGCTTAGTCAGTTAAGCGTCCCAACTTTCGCTTACGTCATGATCTCGCGGTTCGTGGGTTCGAGCCCCGCGTCGGGCTCTGTGCTGACTGCCAGCTCAGAGCCTGGAGCCTGTTTCAGTCTGTGACTCCCTCTCTCTCTGACCGCCCCCTGCTCAAGCTGTCTCTCTCTCTCTCCTCCCTAAAAATAAATAAAACATTTAAAAAAAAACAAAGAAGAGCAATATATATACATATTGCATTGTTACCAATGAGCAGCACAATTATAATCCAAGAGCCTTCAGCCTGGTAGAGATTTTAAGGATAAAACATACATTTAGTTGAACAGCCATACTGGTCATAAAGATTTTTATGGGGTATGACCTCCCAAATATCCCTCTATTACCACTTCAGAGTTTAATGACCTTTCAGAGAAGGTGTTCTTTACAACAAACTGGAATCACCCTTTCTATAATTTCAGCTCATTCTACTTAGGTCTGAGTTTCAAGGAGATAACTTAAGGCTCTAACATACCTGTCATTTTGCTGTTTTATTATTCTTAGCTGAAAGTTTGTAGCAAAAATGAAAAGAAGTACAAATATATTTGAAAACATTTCAAAGTCTTTCTCCCCCTTCTTTCTATAAACTAAACAAGTGATTTCCATGACTTGAACCTTTCCTCACTCCTGTCAATGCCCATTTATGCTGCTCTTTCCAGTGCCTCTCCAATTGTTCTGTGTTCCTAATATCTTTGGAGAAAATAATTGAATATTATTAGTTTGAAGTGTTTAGTAAACTAAGGAGCTCAATGACGAGTTCAAAAAAAAAAATACTCCAGAGTCACACTCATTTTTAAATGTACATAACCGCTGACATATTTTCAACTTGTAAAATGCTATGATTTGAGTCTAAACAATTACTCTCATCTTGAATGTGTGTGATTAACCTTTAACCATTATTAAACTTCATGATGTTTTGGTTGGACCACTGAGGGGATTTATTTTCTATCTGTAGAAGGAATTTCATAGGCTGTTACGATAAGGCTTAAATGCATATTTGAGGAAGATGGGTACACATTTGGAATCTATTATTATCGAAGACTTAGAATTCTATACAATGAAGGAACCATGCTTTGACACTATTAACATTACTACTACTATAAATGCTACTATACCCTAGAATTTTCAAGGCTCTATACACACATAGTAGCTAACGGAAATCACTTTTAAGAACCAATGTATTGGGGCGCCTGAGTGGCTCAGTCAGTTAAGTGTCTGACTTCGGCTCAGGTCATGATCTCACAGCTCGTGAGTTCAAGCCCCGTGTTGGGCTCTGCTGACAGCTCAGAGCCTGGAGTTTGCTTGAGATTCTGTGTCTCCCTCTCTGTCTGCCCCTCCCTCCCTCACACTCTCTCTGAAAAATGGATAAATATTAAAAAAAAAAAAAACTACAAAAAAAAAGAACCAATGTATTTAACTACCAGACTTATCACTACCACTTTATGGCCAAGACATAATAATATTTAATATGGACAGTTCGTATTTGAGTTTTTAATATTTTTTCTTTTTTTAAAACTATCCTATTTTTTTTAATGTTTATTTTTGAGAGAGAGTGCAGGCGAGTGTGGCAGGGGCAGAGAGAGGGGGACAGAGGGCCCCAAGCAGGCTCTGTGCTGACAGCAGTGAGCATGAAGCAAGGCTCAACCCGACACACCATGAGGCCATGACCTGGGGTGAAGCCAGACACTCAACCAGCTGGGCCGCCCAGGCGCCCCTAAAACTATCCTACTATTTTAAAGCCAATTATAATTGGCCCTGGTAAACAGTGTATCCTGTGTACTGTGTTAATTCAGTAAATACTGGTGGAAGAGGAACAGAAGTAAGGAAAAATGCCAAGAGTCTAATTTGTGTTTCCACACCCACAATGCCAGCAGGAGAAGAGGTACATAACCTTGACCATCACGTGTAGTGTCATGTAAGAACAAAGCGGGAGGCATCGTTTGTGGCTCTAGTTTACCGTCCTTGCACAGAGGGAACCGGCGCAGAGCAGTGGCTCTGAAGCCGGATCTTCTACTGAACCCTCCTTTCCGGCCACCAACATTTCCCAAGCGTGGCCCGTGAAGAGTTTTGTGATTGGAAAATACAATGTGAAAATTACTAATACAGTGGATAAAAACAGAGGAAGAGTCACAAGATCTGGATTCATATCACATGCCAGGCCGTCTGTCTACCACCTCTGGAACCTTCAAAGGTGTTTCTTAACCTTGTCAATCTCAGTTTCTACATCCATAGCAAGAAGACAACCCCTACCCCATACAACAGACCAGGTGAGATAAATAAGATGCTGACCACACAAAACAAGTTTGTAAGGTGTGATGTGCTATGTAAAGCGTATCTTATATACTATATATAATTATTACGTATACTGTCCTATATTATGGCATATAGATTACATACGTAGTTTAATCACTGTCTTACAGGCTATGTCATAATGTAAAACCAAACATTTTCCCTTCCGACCATTCCCCTCCCAGGACCATTTCCTTATTTCACACACAACAAAGACATTCAGTGTCATCTCAGTGAAAGAAGCTCCAAACACTGGACTAAAAGGAAAGAGGTGGGAAGAACAGACACAAAGAATTGTTCTCCTTTGCTTCTCAGGATAACTCGAAGGAAGTTCAACTCCCACTACTTTTCCTAACTGAAGGACTCCACTGGCGCCTCTACTGGTGATTTTAAATGTCCTCTAAGCTATTTTTAATAAACACTGACTGTAAGCACTTTGGGTAGAAGTGCACTATGAAAATGCTGTTCTCCAGACCCATGCTGGCTTCTGCAAACACTAGGTGTGAGATCCACGTTCAGGTCCGATGTACTCAATCATGAAAGTGGAGTAACGGGGAAAAAGAATATCAAATTCATGTGTTTCATACAGACAACTCGAACAGTTTGAGAGATATGATAAAGTTCTAAGACTTCCTCGAGAAACTATTTGAGAGTTGGTACTCTCTTAAATATACTGCCTCTGTAGAGATTATAATAGGTCTTCAATTATAGCTCCTATACATATATGCAGGGTTTTTTGGCTAGAGATCATGGCGCAAAGGTCTTAGACACAAAGCTATTCAGTGTATCTTTCTTGCAACCTTATATCCATAAAAAAATATTGGAAAGTGTACAGGAGAATTTCTGGTGAGCCCTGTGGAAAACCTTTATCAAACTAGAGCTGCGGGGTGAAGGATACAGCTCCAGCTTATTTCTCTTGAATATTCGCTAAGTCTCTGAAGCAGTAGATTGTGGGATTATCTTCCCACAGAAGCTGAATATTGAAGAAATGTTAAAATAGCAATGTTTTATCATACTGAATGGGCTGGCAATTGCACTTCAACTACACAGAAATCAAAGGAAGGAACCTGGGTACAAATGTAATCTCAAAGACCAATGATATTGAACATGTACTCAGACTGTACACCTGTCCCTCTGGTGCCCGCCCCCACCACTCACCTGATCCCTACCCCTGCTCCTTTCTCCTTTCTGAATGCCAATGCAAGGCTTCTCTTTAAAGTACTGTTGTAGCGGAAGCAGAAGTTCCCACACCAAACCGCTGCACCTTCCCACATAACCAGCCCATTATTGAGTAGGAGAATTATGACATCAGCAGCCCGTCAGCCAATTACTCTACCGAATAGTTTACGTCCACCAATCCACATGGCGCCAGGTCACGGGCTGGATTTCATAAGCATAGCTGCTATATTTTACTATCTTTAATTTGAATTTACTGTGACACGGGCTTCACACTTGGCAATCTGTTAAACAACAGAAATGCATGTGGCAGGGGCGCCTGGGTGGTTCAGTGGGTTAAGTGTCCGACTTCAGCTGAGGTCATGATCTCGCGGTTTGTGGGTTTGGGCCCTGCGTCAGGATCTGTGAGCCTGGTTCACGTTGTTTCTGGCTCTCTCTGCCCCTCCCTCGCTTGTGCTCTGTCTCTAAAATAAACATTTAAAAAAAAAGGAAAGAAAAATGTATGTGGCATTTCGTTGCATTTTAGTTGACTGTCATTTTGGAATGCCACATCCAGATACCACGCAGGGTAACACATGGGTACACAAGGTGGGAAAGACTAACTCAACAGTCTCATGTTTGTGCTCTCAGTAAGCCCCCTGAGCAGCTCCCAGAATTCCATATTACAGGAGCCCTGATGCTCTTTCTGACAATTCCCCCATAAACTGTGTGTTAGCACACATTTTCAGTGCATGATGCCCTTAACCCTACTTAGGGCATGTTGGGGAGGAAGGTGGGAGGGAGGGGTTCTTTTGAGGTTTCCAGAGCCCCACAGAAAGCTAAGCTATCCAAAACTCTTAAAAATAACTATACCCTGGGGCACCTGGCTGGCTCAGGCAGTAGAGCCTGCAACTCTTGATTTCGGGATGGTTGAGTTCAAACCCCACATTGGGCATAGAGCTCCTGAAACAAGTAAAAAATTAAAACACAAAGTAACTTTAACCACATAACAATGTGAAGAAGAATTTAACACTATGATGTCTTAAACAGGTACAAGCAGTGAAAGAAAATACAGTTCCTCACAATGTTCACTGCTGCCGACTATCGAGAGGAAAAAAAACCTACCTCAAAATCTTATATATAAAAACAGCTCTCAAAAATCCTTGTACATGAGACCCCCTATTAGACACTTTAAAATACTCTGCTTTGTGTACCTACAGTTCATAATGTGTAGAGAACATGTGATCAATTACCTCATATTCCTTCCATTAGCCAAACTCAATGTATTCTCTACCACAAAATGCCAGAATGACCAAGTGGCCTAAAACATTAAAAGCAAAGAGAATTAGGTTAACATTAAAAATGGATTCTTCACCTTCAGCTAACATCATCCTCAACGGGGAAAAACTGAGAGCTTTCCCCCTGAGATCAGGAACACGACAGGGATGTCCACTCTCACCACTGTTGTTTAACATAGTGCTGGAAGTCCTAGCATCAGCCATCAGACAACAAAAGGAAATCAAAGGCATCAGAATTGGCAAAGAGGAAGTCAAACTTTCACTCTTCGCAGATGACATGATACTCTACATAGAAAACCCGACAGACTCCACCAGAAGCCTACTAGAACTGATCCAAGAATTCAGCCAAGTTGCAGGGTACAAAATCAACGTACAGAAATCGGTTGCATTTTTATACACCAATAATGAAGCAACAGAAAGAGAAATCAAGAAACTGATCCCATTCACAATTGCACAAAAAACCATAAAATACCTCGGAATAAACCTAACCAAGGATACAAGAGATCTGTATGATGAAAACTATAGAAAACTTATGAAGGAAATTGAAGAAGACACAAAGAAATGGAAAAACATTCCATGCTCATGGATAGGAAGAATAAATATAGTTAAGATGTCATTACTACCTAAAGCACTCTACACATTCAATGCAATTCCAATCAAAATTGCACCAGCATACTTCTCAAAACTAGAACAAACTATCCAAAAATTTGTATGGAACCACAAAAGACCCCGAATAGCCAAAGTAATACTGAAAAATAAAACCAAAACGGGAGGTATCACCATCCCAGACTTCAGCCTCTACTACAAAGCTGTCATCCTCAAGACAGTATGGTATTGGCACAAAAACAGACACATAGACCAATGGAACAGAATTGAGAACTCAGAAGTGGACCCAAAAGTATACAGCCAACTGATCTTTGACAAAGCAGGAAAGAATATCCAATGGAAAAAAGACAGCCTTTTTAACAGATGGTGTTGGGAGAACTGGACAGCAACATGCAGAAGAATGAAACTAGATCATTTTCTCACACCATGCACAAAAATCAACTCAAAATGGATAAAGGACCTGAACGTGAGACAGGAAACTATCAACACCCTAGAGGAGAAAGCAGGAAACAACCTCCTTGACCTCCACCGCAGCAACTTCTTACTTGACACATCCCCAAAAGCAAGGGAATCAAGAGCAAAAATAAACTGTTGGGACCTCATCAAGATTAAAAGCTTCTGCACAGCCAAGGAAACAACCCAGAAAATTAATAGGCAACCAACGGAATGGGAAAAGATAGTTGCAAATGACATATCAGATAAAGGGTTAATATCCAGAATCTATAAGGAACTCACCAAACTACACGCCCGAAAAACAAACAACCCAGTGAAGAAATGGGCAGAAGACATGAACAGACACTTCTCCAAAGAGGACATCCAGATGGCCAACAGACACATGAAACGATGCTCAGCATCCCTCCTCATCAGGGAAATACAAATCAAAACCACACTGAGATACCACCTCACGCCAGTCAGAGTGGCTAAAATGAGCAAATCAGAGAACTCTAGATGCTGGCGAGGATGTGGAGAAACGGGCACCCTCCTACACTGTTGGTGGGAATGTAAACTGGTACAGCCCCTCTGGAAAACAGTGTGGAGGTTCCTCAGGAAACTAACAATAGAACTCCCTTATGACCCAGCAATAGCACTGCTAGGAATTTACCCAAGGGATACAGAAATGCTGAGGCATAGGAGCACATGTACCCCAATGTTCATAGCAGCACTCTCCACAATAGCTAAAACATGGAAAGAGCCTAAGTGTCCATCAACAGATGAATGGATCAAGAAGATGTGGTTTATCTATACCATGGAATACTACATGGCAATGAGAAACAATGAAATCTGGCCATGTGTAGCAACATGGATGGACCTTGAGGGTGTTATGCTGAGCGAAATAAGTCAGGCAGAGAAGGACAAATACCATATGTTTGCACGTATAGGAGGATTAGGAGGAACTTGACGGAGGAACAAGGGGGAGAAGAAGGGCGGAAATGGTGGGGGAAAGGGAGAGAGGCAAACCATGAGAGACTCTTGAATGCTGACAAAACCTGAGGACTGATGGATGTGGGGGGGAGAGGGGATGGGCATGAAGGAGGGCACTTTGGGGATGAGCACTGAGTGTTATGTAGAAACTAATTTGACAATAAACTATTTGTAAAAAAAAATAAAATAAAATAAAATAAAAAAAAAAAAAAGAAATGTAATCATAGCACTGCCATGGATGGCTAAAAACAGCCCGTGTATTAACTGGAAATTTTTATCATGTAAATATAGATACTAAACTTGTTCTGCAGCAAAAAAAAAAAAAAAAAAAAAAAAAATGGATTCTTCAATGTATACATGTGATTATTTCATATTATTGAATCTGTAGATAAATATAAATTGCCAACTAAGTGAATTATTTTTATTTCTTTGCATGACTGACTGCATCAATGTTTAAGTTTCCTATGTAGTCGAAAAAAAAAACCGTTTTGACTTGATAGGGAAGGAGAGAGAACTTTTATTTCTCAAAGAATAAACATATTACTCTAATAATCAGAGAAAATGTAAGTGAGGGAAAATCCTGGAAAGAAGGAATCTTTAAAAGACTCGGCTTATCTAAATCATGAAGACGAGACCAAATAATTTGATAATCAGCTTGCTGCTCACACTTTGTCTCTCTCTCAAAAATAAACAAACATTAAAAACAATTTAAAATTTTTTAATAATAACAAGATTTGTTTCTTAAAAATAAACAAGCAAAAACAATACATAAGCAGGTCACAAAGCTGAAGAAATTACTAAGAAAGGCATGATGATTCAGTTTTATGGAAATTATAAAAAGAAATCTTTGCTTCAGGGAGAACAAGTTAAGAGCACTTTTAAACTAATGATTTTTATTTGCTAATAAGGTAATTTTAGGGGCACCTGGGTGGCTCAGTAAGTTAAGCATCCGACTTCAGCTCAGATCATGATCTCGTGATTTAGGAGTTCAAGCCCCACACTGGGCTCTGTGCTGACAGCTCACAGCCTGGAACCTGCTTCAGATTCTGTGTCTCCCTCTCCCTATGAGCCCCTATTCTCTCTCTCTCTCTCTCTCTCTCTCTCTCTCTCTCTCTCTCTCTCTCTCCCCCCTCCTACCCCTCCCTCCCTCAAATATAGATTTTTAAAAATTTTTAATTTTAGGGTAACAATGAAATAAAAACATGTACTTAAGTGTATTTGCTTATTACCTGTGTTCATACTTTTTTTGCCCTAAATTTGACCCATGGGATTAGAGATCAATTTAGTACAGAGTATATCTGATCACTTAGTCAACTATAAACAGCATCATGGCTGCCTGGCGTGATCTACTTTTGTTTGTTTTCTTTTTTTCTTTGAGGGTAAAGATGACATTAAGTGACAGTTGCCATAAATTTTTATGTGGGTCCATTAACCTTAGAAAAATAACACAGAAAACAGGCACAGCTGAGTATATATGAACAGGCAACAGTCTAAATACACATATTTGGGGTTACTTGAACAAGACAAGGATCACTAAAATAATCACAGGTGTTTGCTGTGTATTTAGTCGATTACAAGTCAGATACAGCAAAAGTGCAATCATCTACACTAATTAACACACCAGCCTTCTCAAAAAGAACTTAGCAATTTTAACCCTATTATCAGACTTTTCTGTTACTTTATTGTCATTACGAAATACAGGATGTTTTCTGACCTGAGGTATTGTACAGCTATTACAAACCAAGTGACTAAACCATATATTGTAACAACTCTGAGCAAAAGAACTGGAGTTTTACTAAAGCTACAATTAAATGTCTGTAAAAGAACTCTCCCAACTCCTTCCATTTTTTTTTCTCCAACGACCCTCCCTTATACCTAACTTGTTCAGTGAGTATCAAATTCGAAAATTCAAGCTAATCTACAGTTATCTGTGTCCTCTGCTCTTCTCCAAACAGGTTACGAGCATAATGGTTGCTCTGAACACCTTTCACCAACTCATCTGACACAAACATCACTGCTCAGAATCTCTTCGTTTCTTGAATGGTCTCAAGTCCCTTGGTCACCGTCACAGCTCACTGACGGTGCAGATTTGTGTTTGCCACTGGTCACTTTAAACTTAAAATCCAACTCGTTTCTTAAAGCCTGTTCTCACATACTATTAGTCAGGTATTCGTTTAAGAAAGAATGACGACTATGCTAGGCCCCGCCTGTGCAAGGAGTAGATGTACACGGTCCCCACACACAAGCAGCGCACACACCACCATGCCAAGCACAGCAAAGTGCTTCCCCCCTCAAAGCTCTTACACTGGCCCCACAAGGACTTGTTTTCCTTCTTCCTTTCTCTATCTTAACGTTAATGCCTTTCTTCTCACACCTCTGGCACAGCTTTTCAAATATCTTCATCTTGCCCTTCAACATTTACTGAGTCGCTACCATGAGCTGGGTAACGTGCTAGAAGCTGATTTGGTGCCACAGGATACAATGGTGAGCAGAACAGTTACTCGGCATTCAGGGCCCTCCTCATCTGTCCTAACTTTCTCAGTGGCTTTGTAACTCACCTGCAACCCAGTGACCTTTCACCTTTTACACTTCCATTTTCTCATAAGCCACAATTCATCAGTAAACACATCCCGCTGATCTGTCATTCACGTCGGATGACCCATTCCGGCACTGCCCTGAGACCCAGGCAAAAGGGGCCACTTCCCTGGAATGTTCCCCATAAAATGAGAAATGTGCCCAGCCCAGGGCCACACTCTCTAACCTCTCTGGACTCTATCTCGGCAAATTCCCAGGACTCGGATCCCCTTGAGGAGCCCTGGACTACTGTCCCCAGGGCAGACGGAGAAGCGGGCATACCCACCTCCAGCCCAAGAGGTAGTCAAGACATAGCTTGCACGGACTAGGGCACGTGGCCATGTTACAGCAAAGAGCCCAGGAGATGGCGAAGAGGAGGTAGACTTCAGGACAGGGACAAGCGGACTGAAGGCCAGTCCTTCCTCTACCACTATGTTCTAGAACAGAACTCCTTAAAAATCCGAGAATTCTAAATGGTCATCCATCTCCTTATAAAGTTGTGTCAGTCAAATTATGAGGTAAGAGCATATTTTACCTAATAGTTTGCTGATCTACAGCCTTTAAGTATATAGAGACACAATTAGTGAGCTTCCATTTGTATTCTTACCCGTGAGGGTGAGGGACGGGCCGGGTTTCGACATCTCATTCCCACTAACGGTTGCCCAGCTCCAATTTTCATTATAAGCCATCAAACAGGATTATTATAACAGTAATAAAGGAGCATGAAGACGATCTCTCACTGACGGTCCTGGCACTGTACTGGCATCTAATCTATACTAAACTCATCCACACTCTTCTGTTACCTACAAGCCCACTGACTCATGTGCATAGCTTTACATTTTTATCCATGAATTGAAAGTCACAGAGCAGAAGGATTCTAACCAAAGTCTTTCTGAATTAAAAGCCCTGATTCTTCACTCTATATACTTCCTTTCAGACGATCAAGAGAAGTTTCCTTTGCTTCGGACTCACTCCCTGCTCATCTACACAGAGCTGCAAGATGGAGCTCCCCAAAGCACCCTTTACACCCTCACATTTGATCCATTTAAAACAAAAAACCACTGGTTGGTTACGCTCCATCCAGTTAAGTCCCAAATCCTTTGCCTGATTTTCCATTCCACTCCACCTGCTTCATTATTTCCCAAGAAACTCTTCACACCAAGATACAGCTGCCTCTACCTCTAGCACGTGCTTAACTCCATCCTCACAGCCAGTACACCCACACACCCATCAGGATCCATCTCACATCTACCCTCCTTCCTGAAGACGTCTCCGAAATTATTCCAGACCAGAACCCTGTCTCCATTTTTGTGAGTCACCACAATACTGATGGTCTCTCGTCAGTCAACAAGTAACAAAGCTGTGTGCTCAGCATGGGGGGGACCACAAAGGACATGGACTTTTTCTTGTTGGAAGGCAGCACAGGAGAGCTGGGTAAAGGGCCTCTTAGGACAGAGCACCCAGCTGAAAATCTGCTTTGATGACACAGTAGTATGGACTTTGGTGTCAAGTTTGCAGAGGAAAGTAATTAACACCAGTTCTAATACAGTAAGCAGACTTTTTGGTCCTGGAACCTGCTTAGACCTGAAATTTCTCTGGGAACCCCAAAGAACTTTTGTTTCTGTGTGTTATATCTAGTTGGTCACTGGTAAGTGTTTGTCAGCTCTTCTTCACACCCCTCAAAAAAGCCAGATGTGTAGCTTCTGCTCATTTCCATAGTGTAAATACTCCCAACATGGCTCACTTCAAGCTAGCGATGTGACATCTGAATGTGGGAGGCAGCGGTATGACTCACTCGAGCCAGTCATAAGCTTTGGTACGTCACCAGCTATGTCCATCCAAGCATCATATTAGAAAATAAGTGGAGAAAGGTAATAAATATTAACTTAAAAATGACAACAAAACGATTACATCTTAACATAAACACATTTTATGCAATATATCTAAATTTTCCAAAGGAAAAAAAATATGAATGAGAGCAGGGGCATTGTTTTGTATTTTTATACATTTCTTTTAATGTCTTGCTTAATAGGAGCCAACTGGCTTCCCAGGGCACCCGGGTGGCTCAGTCGGTTAAGTGTCCAACTTCGGCTCAGGTCATGATCTCGCAGTTTTGGAGCTGGAGCCTGACCTCAGGCTCGCTGCTGTCAGTGTGGAGCCCACTTCAGACCCTCTGTCGTTCCCCCCTTCTCTGCCCCTCCCCCACTTACACGCTCTCTCTGAAAAATAAAAACATTAAAAAACTAAAAAACAAAAAAAAAGAGAGAACTGGCTTCTCACATATCCTTCTGTGCTCAATCTGCCATCTGGGTTGAATATATTAAGGAAATGCAGCCTCACATACACATTCGGTTTTAAAAGGAAGGGCCTCCTGGGGCTGGACACCCTAGGTGGCCTCCATTCGCACCTAAAGCGGCATGCGTGTACGGTATACAGTTTGCCTAAAAGACGTTCGTGTGGAAAGACCTTACCGAGAGTGAGAGTTGAGTCTAGCCTTGTAGTTTAGTTTTTCTCACCTAGCAATTATCTCCGTATGAGTAATTCTAACTTGAGACTGTACTGAAAAGCAAGTTTATGCCATGCCATACGTATGTGCGTATAATTACATACACGTGTATATAAATGTGTACATACACATGATAGCTCCCCAATTCAACAAGTCAAAGTGGTAAGAAAATCAAGGGGGGGGAAAGGTAATGGGAAAAAGATCAGGTGAAAATCTCATTTGTAGGAGAAAAACTTCTACGCAGAAAGAATATTTATGAAGCTAATGTAATGAATCTTCACTGAGCTGGACATAATATTCAATTAAACATAAAAGGTGCAATTCTGGTCTACATTTTTACAAGTGGGCAATTGTACTTTACATACAAGATGATAAGTCAGAGTAACATATTCACTGATGTCAAAAATCCAGCTTCTATCAGAACAGAATTATATTTCATTTCGCTCTGGAATTTAAAACTTCCCAATCCAATAGTTAGGGCAATATTTAATTCTTCAAAACTGAATCATTAAACAGATTAGCAATGTGAAACAGGGGCGCCTCAGTGGCTTAGTCGGTTAAGCGTCCAACTCTTGATTTCGGCTCAGGTCATGATCTCATGGTTCAAGAGTTCAAGCCCTGCATCAGGCTCTGCGCTGAACGCACAGAGCCCGCTTGGGATTCTCTCTCCCTCTCTCTGCCCCTTCTCTGCTCTGTCTCTCTCTCAAAATAAATAAAACTTAAAAAAGAAAAAACAGGCATATAAATCCTCCTGGGGGGGGGGGGGGAACTCATTGAACTACCAGTAACAGCTAGTGGTTTTACCTAAAAAACTGTAGCTGTGTAACCTTAGGTGCTATTTTTCCCTGCTAAGTATCACCGTCGTCTGGTATTCTCCCTCTTAAAATATCAAGGCAACATTAGGCATTAAGCACGTTCTGTACCTCCTCCTCTCCTTCAGCTTAGGCTGAAATTACCTTCTTCAAAGAACTGAAATAGGATAGCCATTGCCTAAACCGGTTTAATCCCACTAGCTACTTCAAACCATTATATTTCCAAACCACGTCTATTCTTCTGAAAATGCTATCTTCTCATTAAATTAAATGCCTTATGGTCTCTTTAGCAACAACAGGACACAAGAAAACTCAAGCTCGATTTTGTACATCAATGGTGAGCATGTTGTACATTTTTTAGTGAGAGACCAGAAAGTAGCACACATAATCAGGTTTTTATGGGACTCCACTGCTGCCTTCCTTCTCAGCAGAAGTTGATACTCATTTTCAGGTCTCTTAGATCAACAATATTAAGTGTGAACACAAGCTTGGGCACTTTACTTGTTTTTGCTCTTCCAGTTCTTTACGTGCAAGAATTCGAAGAGAGGCTACATGTTTAAATGATGCAAAGTTTGCTGTACATACTTACTGAAAAGAAATAAATGTGCTCTATTCTTTAAATTCTACCTTTTGTGCAGGGAATAAGCATTTCCTCACTCAGGACATACGGTTCCTATCAGTTGCCGCTCTTGCAACCTTTAAAGACCACGTCCCCAGATTCGACTCTGAAGAGGGGTCGCTTCATCAAAGTTTTTAAAAATCCTCTCTATTGACCAATACTGGAAATGACTTAACCAAACACACAGGGCATAATCTCTCTCCTTGAAAACAGTTTTGTTTCTAATTATATCCAGTTCCATGTTACTATTTTCAGCAGCCACCCTCTTCTTCAAAACCTTCCTCACACTCTAGGAGAGGCTGAGCTACTGACAATACTAACTACCACAGCATGAGTGATAATTCTAGATTGTCACGCTAACCTCTCTAGGTGCATTTAGCTGGTTTTATCTTCCACTTTTTCATTATAACCCAATTGATATGTAATATCTCCATATTAACGTTAAAAAATCTGAGATCTAAGTACCTAAGAATAAGTTTAAGGATAACAAGCTATCAAACGACTAAATCAGAACTTGAACTCAGGTCTCTTCTACCCAAAAGACTAGGACTCTCACCTCTGCCTAACAATTTTGTGAGCTGACGGTCCTCATGCGATATGCATCAGGTATTTACACTCTGTAAGGCAGAGGCGCAAGGAGTCATGGACATTTGTGCATGGAGAATAAACATAGGATTATCTCACGTGGTACAGTGTGGGTCTCTGTGGAAATTTTATAGTTCCATGCAAGTGCTACAACAGCCTTCTCCTAATACTGTGACAGTCCTGACAAACTTCTGTATACAAGATTACCTGGAGGAGGTGATCTTCCCACAAACCAGCTTCAAACTGAACTTACGTTTGCGTCTTCACAAGTGAGCTGCGATCTCACACTCGAGAGACTGAAATACAGGGCATTCTGCACCCTATAGACGACAGGGACACTGGTATGAGAGTGGTCCGAATGCATAGCACACCAGGCTACTGAACTGCTAAACTACAATTCAGTTTTAGTCACTGAAAGGATGGTTCTATAAAGTGCTGTACAGTCGTTAAGTAAAATGCTACAATGCGAAATGGCAGTAAAACTTCAGCAACAGCATGGAAGGTAACCACAGCCACATCGTGATTTTTTTCTCTAGAAAAACAATTCAATCTCGTGAAAGTCATGCCTAAATTCCAGTGTTAAACTCACTGTGGCTCTACTGGCTTAGTAAGGGACAGAGAATGTTAAAAATATTTCAGAAATTAGGGGCGCCTGGGTGGCTCAGTCAGTTAAGCATCCGATTTCGGCTCAGGTCATGATCTCACAGTTCGTGGGTTCGAGCCCCGCATCAGGCTCTGGGCTGACAGCTCAGAGCCTGGAGCCTGCTTCAGATTCTGTGTCTCCTTCTCTCTGCCCCTGCCCAGCTTGTGCTCTGTCTCTCTCTCAA